ATCTGCCTGCCTTGGTCTCCCAAACTGCTGGGATTACAGGCATGAGCCCCCGCACCCAGCCTATCAGTTCTTATTTTATCGGGTGGCACTGCGTTGCTTTTGAAACCGTAGCCCTTCACAGTGCCATAATTAGTTTAACAGAGAAGTGTAGTGAAAATTAATAACTTTTCATTGATACCTAGAATATTCCAGGCACTTTTAAGTGTTGCATCGGTTGATAAAGTCAATCAATTAGCATTACTTATGTAATGTTCTCTTATTCTAAGAATGGCAAATAGATTAAATAGAACTTATTTGGGTATAATTCTTTCATATGACTGGTAGATCAGCTTTGAGATTTTTAGATTCATAAACATGTAGGCGGCTAAATACCTCCAGAAGAGAGTCTGGATGCTCCATTTACCATCTCTTTCTCTGTCATGTCAGGTGAAAGCAAGCTTTTTTATAAAGACAATGTTCTACTTACTTTACTGGGTGGATGGGTGGGTTCTCAAACATCAGTGTAAGAAGTAAAGGAAGAACTAACATGATTCCTGGTGGTGGTTACTGAACACAAGTGACAATGAAGTACCGTGAGTTTGTGTGTTGGTTCTATTAATGTAGCTCAGTTTCCTTCCTTCACTGCCTCCCTCTCTCCCTTCCTTCCTTCCTTCCCTCCCTCCCTCCTTCCTTCTTTCCTTCCTTCCTTTTTCTTTCTTTCTTTCTTTCTTTTTTTTTTTTGCCCAGGCTGTAGTGCAATGGCGTGATCTCAGCTCACTGAAACCTCCGCCTCCTTGGTTCAGGAGATTCTCCTGCCTCAGCCGCTTCCCTAGTCGCTGGGATTACAGGTGTGCACCACCATGCCTGGCTAATTTTGTATTCTTCGTAGAGATGGGGTTTCTCCATGTTGGTCAGGCTGGTCTCAAACTCCCGACCTCAGGTGACCTGCCCGCCTTGGTCTCCCAAAGTGCTGGGATTATAGGCATAACCCACTGCATCTGGCCTTGTAGTTCAGTTTTTAAAAGATGAAGAGAACTAAATTCACTTACTTTTAAAGCTTAATTTTTGGTCAAGATTGGCATTTATATATTTAAAAAATATGTGTATATATATATATATATATATATATATATATATGTATATATTTGAGACGGAGTCTCTGTTGCCCAGGCTGGAGTGCAGTGGTGTGATCCTGTCCCACTGCAACCTCCGTTTCCTGGGTTCAAGCGATTCTCCTGCCTCAGCCTCACAAGTAGCTGAGATTATAAGCATGTACCACTATGCCCAGCTAATTTTTGTATTTTCAGTAGAGACAGGGTTTCACTAATTTGGCCAGGCTGGTGTTGAACTCCTGATCTTAAATGATCTGCCTAGGTTGGCCTCCCAAAGTGCTAGGATTACAGGTGTGAGCCACCGTGCCCCGCCAATTACGTGATTTTGAAATGAATTAGCAGTGGCTTGTTTCCATGTAGGTTTGAACTTGGACTTTTTTCGAGGAACAATTCACTGACACTTTTACCATATTCAGTAGCCAATTTTGGGATAGATAAACTCTCAGACTAGACATAAATTTGTCAGATAATTAGTTCTGATTATTTTAAAACAGGGGTCAGCAGACTTTTATTTCTGTATAGGATCAAATAGTTAATATTGAGACTTTTTCAGCCATATGGTCTTTGCCACAACTCAACTTTGCAATCTGTAGCCTGAAAACAGCTGTAGAAAATAAATGTTTCTACATATTTTTGGGCTGTATTTCAATAAAACTTTATTTACAAGAACAGGCTGTGCCTCTGTTTGTGCTTCCACGGCTATAGTTTGTCAACCCCTGTTGTAAGACATCAGTCACTGAGTTTTAAGTACTTAGATGTTAAGGTATTTCAGAATGCACAAATAGACACTTTAGGTAAATTCGAGCGTTTGCAGATTGTACGTGTCTCCTGCCTTGAAGAATTTTTAGTATAAGAGCATATGGCAACACTGTATTTTGTATTTTTACTTCATTTACATATAAATGTTTTCTTGAA